TCAGGGAACGCACTTCTGCCGTACGCATCCGAGCTGCTGCCCAGCCAGCACTCACTGCTACTAATTTTTTCTTTTATTCTCTTTTTATTCTTTCCCTGCTTATGGACTAAATTCACGTTTCTGTGCCTTTTTGTCTTCGTGGTGTGTTTTCTCTGTATTTTTCTGTCCACTCCTCTCACTCTCTGCAGAATCTCCACCAGCTCAAACAGATTCACACTCTGAGGCAGATGAATGAGCAACTCCTGGCTGAAAACAGGGCTCTGACCCGGGTCGTAGCCAGACTTTCTCTGCCTGCCAAACCCTCCGAATCAGAGGAGCTGTAGCTGCTTTCCCTCCGGCTCATCTCGCCTCCCTCTTCCACTCTTCCAGGCAGGTCTCCGCTCCCCTGGCCGGGCTGTTTCCCATCGCTTTGTTGCTCCTGAGGGTGTCTGATGCAGCTTGCGGCTCCAGAGCAGCATGTGGCGCAGGATCCTCGGGCAGCCCGAAGCATGGCGCTGCTGCCCGGCAGACGGCAGGGTTTTGCTGGAGCCTCTGTCCGGTCCTGCTGACTTTTGCTCTCGCTTGGCAGATGACGCTGACCTCCCGCCGGTTTACTAACCGCCCGTAGCGGGGGGGTTGCCGTGTCCCTGTGGATGTGGGATCCGTGGCTCCCGTCAGCTGGGGGAGAAATAGGAGGACGTGCTCGCTGCCGGGATGGGAAGGTGTAGAGTTGGGTGATGGCCCAGAGATGGCTCCTGAGTGATGGACCAGCTGCTTCCCCACGGCTCAGTGCTGGCGAGTGGCTGTGGGGCGGCTTGGCAGGGCTGAGGGGTGGGCTAACAGCCCCCTCCCCACTGTCTTACCTTGAAATAGGGGGTTTATGCTCCGTGCCACGGAGATGGGCCGAGGCTGGAGCAGCTCCCGTGCGAGGACAGGCTGAGAGAGTTGGGGGTGTGCAGCCTGGAGAAGAGAAGGCTCCGGGGAGACCTTCCAGCACCTTCCAGTGCTGAAAGGGGGCTACAGGAGAGATGGGGGGGCTCTGGATCAGGGGGTGCAGGGACAGGACCAGGGGGAACAATTTTGAGCTGAAAGAGAGGAAGTTTGGATGAAAAATTAGGAAGAATTTTTTTATTATGAGGGTGGTGAGGCAGTGGCCCAGGTTGCCCAGAGCAGCTGTGGATGCCCCATCCCTGGAGGGGTTCAAGGCCAGGCTGGATGAGGCTTTGGGCAACCTGGGCTAGTGGGAGGTGTCCCTTCCCGTGGCAGGGGGTTGCACTGGATGGGCTTTAAGGTCCCTTCCAACCCAAACCATTACGGGATTCTATGACAACACAGTTCTTTTTTAGTTGGACTTAGTGCAGTGAGAAGCTGGCACCCAGAAAATACAACTATCCACAGTCGGAATGAACAGTCTGACACACTTCTAGGGATGTTATGAAAAATGCACATTTTAGACAGAAAAGTGATTTTTAGAAAACCGACACCTGGGCAGTCCTCAGCAGGTTTTGTTAGTTGTTTGCGCAGAGAACAAGCTCCTTCCTTCATTTTAAAGAGTCTGAGTTGAGTCTTTGAGTCGGAGTCCACACGCTGCGGCATCCCTCTGCCTCCCGCGGGCTGGCGACAGGCCGGGGGGAGCCATCGGAGGACGACCAGATGCACAGATGCACTTTCCTTTTTCATCTTCTGTTTTAAATTCAGCACAGAGCAATTAGCGTTTGAAATCCAAGGACGAGCCTTCCGTGAGCTTTGCCCTCGCATGTCGCGCAGTTAAATTACATCCTTTCTCGCTCCTCCATTGGTTCGGTGCTAAAATAAAGCTGTAAATGCTCCTTTCTCTGGGCCCTGCCTGTCTTTGCAGGTTAGTGGGGATATTCAGGTCCCTTCAGACACAGCTATTTTTTAGAAAAAAAAAAGGCAAAAGCAGTATGCTCTCGTGGGCTGAAGTGGCACTAAGGTCTAAAAAAAAAATCTGTTCTTAGCACACAAATTATATCAAGGATGATGAACTGTAGAAACAAAGCAGCCAAGGGAACTGTGACTTCCCCTTGCCGGGAGTCTCAGCTCACGACCAGACGTGTGTCACGGGCTGAGGGAGGGGGTGTTGGGTGTGGTGTGGCCTGAATTGGGCAGATGAAGTGATCTCAGCATCTTCCTGGTTTAAATCTGTGAAAGTATTCCCGAACCTGGCACTGACGCACTCCATCTCCCAAGCCGTGAGTTTAAGTTGTTCTCTTTCCCAACATGCTTTGAGATCCGAGAGTGAAAACGGAGCGAAACTATTTCCAGACTCAGAGAAATAACGTTTCACAAACTGTAAGTCACCGGTGTCTCTTCTTCTCCTAGGAAACAGTCACTTTATCGTGTCCCCTCTGCTCTGACGGTGCTGTGTCTCGTGCGGGCTGGCAGGGACACGGGTGGGCTGATCCTTCCCCGGTCACTCGTAGGTTTGCAGGTCACTGCTGCTGTCCGAGCTGGAGGAGAGCCACATGTCTGCAAGCTGTGCTGAATTTTTTTCAGCTCTTTTAGTAGGTCTAAGCCAGGATGCTGCTGGTACCTGTAAAGCTTGTCTCACCGGTGTCCATAGACAGCTGTATGGTCACGTCACTGGTTTGGGCTCTGACAGATTTCCTGCGCCCTTGGGGCTTTCACAGCATCTCATTTTCCAACATCCAGGTAATTTCCGAAGTGCCACCTTCTCCGGTGTCACAGGTGACGCAGGGCAGCAGCGGTGCGGAGCAGAACGCTGCTCGGACCAGCCTCCAGCCCAGACCTCCCTGTGTGCCAACGCTGCATCACCGCCAGCCTCACCGTCCCCTGCGGCCGTGCCACCGTCCCTCCGTGCCTGTTCCAATGAGACATTTATAAGGCTTCAGTTCTCAGGCCCCAGCATTTCCAGCCTGCTTCACGGGCGGTTTGTTTTACCTACCTTGAGGCTGCTTTGCTTCGAAGCAGGTGATGCCCTTGCCCTGGGAGGAGCAGGATTTTATAAGGTTGGGTTTAGCTTTCAGAAATCTTCACTGCAAACTGATGGAGTGGGGTCACAGCCGGGAAGCTTTTCACGAAGCACTTGCTCTGCATGTCCTTATGTTCCTTCTTTTTCGAACAAATCTCCAAAGTTGCACCGAAGGATGCGTGTAAGGCAGAGCCACCACCTGAGCTGTAAAACCGGGACCGCGGCTTTCTGCTGTGGCCCCTGGGACCCTGTGACAGATTTTCTCTACCAAAGCCAGCGGCAGAGCCTCACGTCACTGCCTCATTGCAGGGATGGAGACGTTCCAGCCTGCGTGGTCCCCCCAGGCAGCGGCGGAGAGAGGACAGGGACTGTCTGTCTGCAGACCCCAGTTTGGTTGAGCCATCCCAGTATGCTGGACTGGGAGGCACGGTGCTTTGCTGGGGGCAGCGGATGAAGCTCAGAAAAACAGGAGCAGATGGAGTGAGACAGCAAGTGCTCTCCCTGCTCCTCTGGGCTCCTGAGCTCTTTGGTGATGGGTGATGCCTCTCATATGGCCGTGAGAAATTGCAAAAGGAGTCACGACTTCAGCCCTGTTGTGGAGATGTCCCTGTCACAAAACCACTGGGTCCAGTAAGATGCTTTTAAGCATCACCAGTGGAAGCTGGGCCAGCCCATCACGTAGTTTTACCCTTTCCCCAATGTCCTGCCATGCTGCCCTTTTACCCCCATCTCTCTCTTCCCAAATCTCCTGTCTGGAGCATCCAGTGCCGGCAGGATGGTGCTGGGTGCGTTGGGGCCAGGCGTGGTTCCTGGCTGTGGGACGAGGGAATGGCTCCGGTGGGATCCGGCATCTGCCCGGGAGCTGCAGAGGAGAGGAACGGACTGAAGGTCATGGTCAGAGCTGAAACTGCAGCTTAGGAGGAGGGAGGAGGTTTAGTGGGGATTGGGGGGAATTCCTCTGAGATCCTCCTCGAGTCACCGCTGAGCTCATGCCGGTGGCGTTGGTGCTCACATGTGGCCCCGCTCCAGCCTGGCTCCATCCAGCCCATTGTCCTTGGGGCTGTGGGCACCCGGCGGCAGGTTACGCCTCGTGTCCCACCCTGAGACAGGAGCTGCGGGATCTCCTTCACGTCCCCAAACGGCTGGGGACGGTCACACGCCAGCAGCGTGGGAAGCAAGGGGAGTCAGGAAGGGTTTGCTCGTGAGAAGTGCCGGACAGGTCTTGTCGGAGCGATTCCTTCCTCTAGTTCCAGTTCAAAGCTTTTGTCTGTGGTGTGAGCCCTGGCTGAGCTCCAGCCTTCAACACTGAGCACCCAGGAGGTGTCTCCAGTGTCGGTGTGTTCTGCCAGTCCTCTGGCCATGGCGTGTGTGTTTGCATTGAACATCTGTAAGAAATCGAGGAAGAAATGTTTTCCTGTGCGGGGGGTGAGGCAGTGGCCCAGGGTGCCCAGAGCAGCTGTGGATGCCCCATCCCTGGGCCAGGCGGGATGAGGCGTGGGGCAACCTGGGCTAGTGGGAGGTGTCCCTGCCCATGGCAGGGGGTGGGACGGGATGGGCTTTAAGGTCCCTTCCACCCCAAACCATTCTGGGATTCTGTGATCTGGGGGATCCCCAGGAGATTTGGGGTTATTCTAAAGAGGTTTTGCAAGGTGCAGTCCTGAGTGAGAATCTCAGACTGTTGTTTTCCCCTTTAGTCCTGGAAAAATGGAAAAAAAAAAAAAAAACCAACCAAACATCAGGAAAACCAGCTTTATAGTTTTCTGCTGAGCCCTGATTAGCCTCTGGGAGCAGGTTTGGGATGAAACAGCTCAGAAATGGCTCCTGCCCCGCCAGCCTGGCCCTGACCCCGTGCTGGGGCTGCGGGTTCGCTTCCCACCGCAGGCTCTTTGCTGTGCTCCAGCCGCCTCTCGCCCCCTCCACGCCTGGCAGCCAGTTTGTAAAAATCCTGCAGACATAGAGAAATCGCCAACATCAAAAGAGTGCTGGGCGGAGGGGATGCGGCGTCCTGGCCGTTCCCTGGCAGCCGTGGGGTGAGCTGTAACCCCGCCTTGTCTTTGTCTCTCCACAGATTTTGACAGAGCTGAAGTCGGACAACCAAAGGCTGAAGGACGAGAACGGAGCCCTCATTCGTGTCATCAGCAAGCTCTCCAAATAGGAACCCTGAGCAACGGCAGGACGACGAGGGGGGCCCGACACGAGCTGCCAACCCTGCCACCAAGCCCTGCCCTGTCCTCCCCTCCCGTCGAGTACAGCGAGCGTTCCACTGTGGGATCAATGTCACGCCTGCCCTGCCCTGCCCGTTGCTGTACATTCCCTTTCTGCCCCTATTTCCCCCCCGCAACACACACCTCGGCCATTTTATTATTTTTAATTTAAGCATGTCGTGGTATCTCGGACATTTTAATCAAGGGAGAAGAGAAATGCGAGGACTGGGTTTGAGCTGCCAAAGCTGCTTCTTCCAGAAGCCCAGGATTCGGTGTTGGACTCCGGGCTGGAGCAGGTAGCTCCGACTTTAAAAAGTGACGCCTAAAGAACGAACCCAGCACGTCCAGGCCCTTTGCAGGTGGGAAATGGGAACATGGGCTGGGACTGAGGATGCACATCCACCCACCTGAGACGTGGGACTCTGGTGAAACCGTGACGCTGTGAAAGCCAACCAGGGCTGATGTCTGTAACCGGCTGATGACAGCTGCTTTGCACGGAGACCTTCTCCTTCCGCCCCAGCAGACCGAGGCTTTTATTTAATGCAAGATTCCAAACCTGTTCGGTACCATCAGCGCTGAGTCAGCATCACACCCCTTGTCCCCCACCCTGCAGCCCAGCCGATTCGCTGTCACCGTGGATTCTTTCAGGGCTCCTGTCTCCATTAGTAGCATCTGCTAACTGCATCTGGGCTCTGGCTCCTCGGTCAGGATGCATCACAGATACTTGCCAAGCTTTCTGAAGGACAAGCTTGAGCCCCTAGACATCCCCTGCTGCTTTCACACGAGCGTGAATGCCCTCGCAGGGAGCTGTGCCCACACCGGGAACCAGCCTCCCCGTCCCACCAGCTGCCTGGGACGTTTTCCTGCCATCCTCTCGAGGGCAGAGCCCCACAGAGGTGTTTGCTGGGGTATTTCAGGTACTTTGCTTTGATTTGCAGCAGGAGGCTGAGCAGGCGAAAGGCAGCACTGGTGGGGTTGTAGAGAGGGGGAACGCTGGAGCCCAGGCCCACCCACCCGTCTGTGGGGGGAAAAGCTCAGCGCAGCCGGGTTTGGAGGCGGAGGAGCATGAAGCAGTGATCGCTTGTCCTCCCGCGTGCCTCGGAAAGGGGGTTGCCGTGGTGGCAGAGGGACAAGGAGCTACCCTCAGGCACGCTGGGACCTGTCTTGCCAGGGTGAAAGTCTTTTAATCTGTCAAAAGCTTGCAATAAGCCTTGACCTTGAAGGAAACCTCAAAAAAAAAAATAAATCCCTCTTTAGTGTTGTACGTACTCAGAACAGTTGGAAGTTGTTCTCTCTATGGGCATTTCGACAGCGGCTCCTCTCCGTGCCGTGGTTCTGATGAGAGCAGCAGAACCTCTCATCACATCTCTTGAGCTTCCCCTTCACGCACTCCTCTCAGACGGTCCCTTCCCTCGCTGGGGACTTCTTGCTGCATCCAGACCACTTTCCCATCTCCATCCTTCCAGATTTCTTCTTTCCTTCCCTTTGGTTTCCCCGCTCCCTCTGGCTGAGAGTCGCAATCTCGGTCACTGAACGTGGAGGTTGCTGTGAACAAGTTCTGACGCCAGGCTGTGGAGACTCCTTCTGCCACGAGAGAGAGAGATGAGATACTTGAACACGAGCAGAGTTCTTCAGCTTGCTCAACAGGGTGAAATTTATCTCTGTCAGTCAGTCCTGGGCTTTTTGGAAGCTTTAGCTGGTTGTTCCTTCAAAAAGCATGTTTATTTTCCTCTCCCTTGGGTTTTCTTTTTTTGTAATTCTCCGGTTTTTTTTTCCCAATTCTCCATTTTTTTCCCTTCCCCTCCCCGTCCTGCCTGTTTTCACCTCTCTAGCTCTTCCCAGAGCTGGAGAGGTGGAAACCCCAGGTGGCTCTAGACCCAGGTTCCTCTTCTGCCGCTCCTCAGACAGCGGAGTTACTGCACACGGACGAGACGTCGTTTTCCCGGCACACTGGGAGATGCTGTTCTCCTGGTACACTGGGGCCCTTCCTCTGCTGCTGCGCTTTGGGGAGGAAGAGACCAAAGCTGGTGACGGCATCAGGGTCCCTGCAGAGCACTGCCTAAGCCAGGCGCCCTTTTTATATCCCTTTCTTTTAAGCCCTGCTATATTTAACAGCTTTAAGTCTTGAGATCCGGTCAATGCTTCTTCTGCACGCCGTTCCCTCTTGGTGCACTCTTTCTGTGAGTACTTCTGCAGTTCTTGACAGTTTTTTTCTCTTGGTGACCCACTCCTCGCTTCACACCTGGGCTCTCTCAGCTCCGGTCCCTTCCGTGCCATGCGGAGGAGACAACGCTCCCCACTGGGGCCAGCGGCGGGCGGCGCAGCGCTGGGATGCCCACGCGTGCGTCCCATGTCGTGTGTCCCAGCAGGGATGAGGGGCGAGATTTCAGCCTAAAGATCCTGTTCTTCTCCCGAGGCGGGTTCCTGGCAGCGGGAAGAAGCCTGGGATCTGTTATAGGGAGAGGGTTCAGCCCAACCTGACACATCCATCCCGCGCTGACGTTCTGCCCCTTCCTGCCAGGATGCTCTGCGCGTTCTATCCCAAGGGACGGGATGCAGAGGGTGCGGGAGGCTCAATCCCTCTGCCTGGCGTCTCGCAAAGCCCGACCGCGTTAGGTGACGTGTCTGCTCAGCACTGGATGATCCCCGAACTCTGACGAGGGGGAAGGACCCACTGACAGTTGAGTCTTGCTGGCTGGCCAAAGCTGTGGGTAGTTCATGACGACGATGCGATTGCAAACCAAAATCTTGAGAATGAATTTTTTTTTTTTTTTTGGTGTCTCACTTAATGCCTGACATAACCAGTGCACTGAGGAGGTAACGAATAGGACACCTCGCACTCTTCACTTGGGACAGAGTGCAGAGCAAGCAGGTTTTAAACCTGATCCCTCTTTGAACCAGAGCATTTGCCAGCCGTGATCTCCACCGGAGAACACGAGGGGTTTTTTCTAAGCAGTTGCTTGGGGTGAATTCATTTTTATTGCTTGGGGTGAACCCGCCTATTGTGGCTGCGAGTTTGATGATGGCTCTTTGTAAATAAACTCCTTGGAGAAGCAGGACTAGCTTACGAGATGGGGAGAGAATGTATTTTTATGCAACTTTTGAGTGGCCTTTCAAACCCTGAGATGAATGATTTGTTTTACTGGTTGTTGTTATATAGTATTATAAGTATTATGTGTTTGAAAGTTTGGGAATAATATTCACATCTATGATGCTTGTAAACACAACAGTATTTATAAATGAATAAAATAAGAGTTGATAAAATAGAAGCTTTGACTTTGCTTCCGTTTTTCTGCAGCCTGCGAAGCTGCTGCAAGTTGTTTAGCCCGAAATGCCCCGTTTCTCCCAGAACCGTAACACGACAGCATCAGTCGTCTGAAAGCAGAGATGCTCAGCGGCTGCGGACCTGCTGCCGTTACAACACGGGAAAGGTGTTGTACACCCAGGTGCCTGTTCAGGGAAAGCTCCAATGAAGGAACTGCTGATCCATGTCCCTGAAAGCCACCAACAGCTGGGAGAGGGTCCCATCCCCCCAGCACCCCCGCGGGGTTCGGGCCCATCTCCCTCTGTGATGTTGAGCCCTGTGTTTGCTCTGCTCGGGAGGTTGGTCAGGACAAACCCGTAGCAAAGACACGGGCGCTGGTGGCACATCTTGGAGCCTTTGTCCCAGGCGACGTTGCTGGAAACCTTGGCGTGTTTTGGTTTTTGGGGGTGGTTATTGCAGCTTGAGCTCTTCCCTTGGGGTTGAGGGTGTCCAGTGCCTCTGCAAAGTGGGACAGGACCTAAACACAAATATGTGGACCAACAGTATGTGTTGGGCATGAAGGATTTGGTGGGGACCTTTGGTGAGCAGCCCTGAGGAGAAGGACTTGGGGGTGTTGGTTGATGAGAAGCTGAACACGAGCTGGCAATGTGCGCTGGCAGCCCAGAA